ACTCGTCTATGTCTGCAAAGGGAAGGAGAGGATGGTGAACATCTGCCACCATGGCAGCCTTCCGGGCTGGGGATGGCATTTTTCAGGTACAGGAACATCCATAAAACTGTCTCCTACCCAACAAGTGTACCTTTTCTAATTCATATGGAGGTTTCTAGGGGAGAATATGATGGCCTAGATGCTCGGTTATCCAGATGTGGCTGAAATGACTGTCTTCCTTCCCTATCTGCTAGCCCCTTTGACCCTTTGCCAGGAGGAGAGCTCTTTTCTCTGCACAGGAAGGATTTGCTGGACTCCCTCAGAGTCCTCTTTGGGGGTTTGGCTCCCCTCCCACCCTGGTTCAATTCCCCTCCATGCTCACTCAACTGACTCCTTTTCTGGGTGAGTCATGGCTCCCACTCACCCACTGCCCTGAGGACACCTGAAGACCCTTCCCCACCCAGCCGGCTCCTCCTGAGAAATGGGCACAACCTGGGTTTGTGAAGAGGTGCTAGCTCCTGGAGATGGTGTTACCAGCCATCACTCATGAAGTATTTTTTCTTTTAAAACTCTTTTTTTGTGACTTGTGTGGAAGTTTACAGGGCAAATGGACTTTTTGTTCAGCAATTCATATACATTTTGGTTTGTCACTTCAATTGCAACCTCCACAATATAACCACACTCTTCCCACTTACTTTCTGTGTTTACTGGTTTACCTTTTTTTATCCCTTCCTGCCTTCTGAGCTTTGTCCTTGAGCAAATGCTGCCCTTTTAATCTGATATGGTTGATTGTTCTAAGGAGTGTGTGCCTCCCTGGTACTATTTTTCACCTTATAGGCCTGTTTATGATTTAGCTGAAAGTTCATTCATAGTGGTTTCCATTTTAGGCTAGAAGGGTGTTAAAAGTTCTCAGTCCTGGGGATTTCACAAATCTCTATCAGACCAGCAAGCTTGATCTTTTTTATGAATTGAGTTTTGTTCTACCTCTTCTGCCACTCTATCCAGGACCTCCTGTTGTGATTCCTTCAGCAGTGGTAGCCAGCACCATTTAGTTCTAGTCTCATAATTGTGGAGGCTGGCCTTCAAGAGGTCCGTTAGTCCTTTGGACTAATTGCTTCTGTGTATCTTTGATTTTTTTTTACTCTTCTTTGTTCTGGATGAGGAGAGTACTTGTACCTTAAAGGGTCTCTCACAAGCTTTATAAAGTACTTTCTGTGAGCCAGATGTCATTAAACCCTTTTGTGATCCCATTTACTTCTCCAGAACTGTTACCCTGGTCACTTCCTTTAACAGATTGGGTAAACTGAGGCACAGAGAAGCAAAGTAACTTGCTCAGGGTCATACAGTTAACAAAAAGCAAAACTACTTTAAAAAAAATTTTTATTTTTAAAAGATATTTCCTCCCTCATCTTTGCTTTTAAAAATAGAATATTGCCATAGAGTTGGTATTGAATCATATCTACTTGTGCACAACAGAACGAAACACTGCCCACTTCTGTGCCAATTTCACAATTGTTGTCACACTTGAGCCCATTGCTACTGCCACTGTATCAGTCTATTTCATTGGAGGTCTCCATATTTTTAGCTTACCCTCCGCTTTACCAAGCATGATGTCCTTCTCCAGGGATTGGTCCCTCCTGATAACATGTCTGAAAGAAAAGAGATGAAATCTCGCCATCTTGGCTTCTAAGGAGCATTCTGGCTCTACCTCCTCCAACGTAGATTTATTT